TGAAAGGCAGGCAGGGGTTGGAATGCATAGGATCCTGAAAGTTATGGTAAGAAGTCTGGATTTTAACAGTCCATGGGGAGCTATTGTAATATTTTAAGCAACAGAATGACATGGAAATATTGTTTCTGTAGCCTTGAGGAAAGAGGGTGATAAGGGAATAAGAATAGAGGCAAGGAGAACCATTATATCACTTCTCATTTGTCATGGTCAGAGATATGCTTCACATATGACCTACCACTCACACACACACACACACACACACACACACACACACACACACACACCCCTCCCAAGGGCTGGTGAGGGCAAGTTGACTCTCTTTTAGTATAGAACTTCTACATTCAATTATGTTTATTCATATATATGTTAACTAATGTATATGACCACCCTGGAGCTTTGGTAATTAATTGTGTTTATATGTATTTGTTTCACTTGCGGGTCAAGACCCTGAAGTATTCAACTTTTTACCTACACTATTTAAGCACGGTGCTTGGTATAGAGAGAGTGTATGTGTTGGTGGTAGTGGTGGGATGGGAATATTTTGACGAATATTGAGGTTTTTAGCTGCTGTGGGTCAGCATCGTAAACCGCTCAAGTACCATCAAATATGTCAAAAGTGGAGAAAAGCTGCTGAAAGTAAGTTGTCCCCCAAGGGACCCATTGTCTCTGCCTCAGGGACCTTTTCTGAACTTCAGTGTAACCTCTTATGCTATTGGAGATGGGAATTCAAAGACCTTAACCTAGGGGCCACAGAGGAAATATCCCTCCCTTTACTAAAGAGATAGGGAAAGACTGAAGGGAGAAGTTTAATTTTTTAATGCTAATCAGATTATATGACAATAATGGAAAACTGAGGGAAAAATGAGGTAGTCAGCATACTTAAAATGTAATAGATTTCTTCATTTAGAAAACCCTCAGTGAGGTAAAACTAGAAAATGTATCATCTTTTTTCAACAACGATAGCCATTGTTTGCTCCACAGCCACACCACCACCACCAAGTCAGTACCTACCATGTGTAAAGCACATAAGATGTTTATCTGTAGCCACATCAACACATGATCTTCAGTGGATTAGCCTTATTCATCTTTGAAAACATATTTTAGATACCCTTGCATTATTTGATTTGCTCATCACAAATTCAAAATTTTTATGTTAAAACAAACTAAATTTCACAACCATCATCAGATGAGTTTGTCCTAAAATCGGTTTTATAGGGTTTCCTATGAGAAGCAGTGAAGCACATTTCCCCTAATTTGCATAGAGAGAAATAGCTAAATTAATCTATGTCATTTTGGGGCCTCTTGGGAGATGCAAATATAGAAAATACACTGGGTGCATAAAATGCATATTGAGTGTGAGGTCAAAACAGTGCTAGGTATTCTTTTCACAAACTTAGGAAACATTGTATGCACTTCAATTAATTTTCCTATGAGAATCAGAGAAGCTGTCATTCTAAAGTGATGTCATTCATTACAGTTCTACGAGTCCTATTTTACTGCTACATACATATTTTAATTTTGAATATTTCTTAAAATGCTTTTTTTCGTTTTTATTTCAAAATGGGTTGAATATCACTCTTTTCTTTACCCAGATGGTCTGGTCATTCTCTACATCACCTGATAGTTTATACGCTACTTGGGGTCAAAGGTGACATCTAGAAGACAAAATCAGAAAGACACAGGACAACCAAAGAGAGATAGTTAAGCTACTATGCATCAGAAATAATAATGGGGAATATGAGGATAAGGGAGAGCATAAAAGAGGGGGAGAAGAGAGGTGAGAGGAATAATAAGAGGCTGAACAATGTGGCAGAGTGGTCTCATGATTTCTAAGAACAAAGATATACAGACAAGTTACATCGATATTGTTTGTATTTCTATTATGCAAGTGTTATTCCTTCCAGATCCCACTGATGAACCTTCCACAAGGGCTTGAACCCACCCCAAACCCTGTGTGTGATTGGATATTTTTGTTTGTGTGTGCATGGAAATTAAGGGAAAGAGCTTGGTTCCATATTGGTCTGGCACCGGAGCAGAGCTGCAGAGCATAGAGTAGGAAACCATAGCTATAGGTTATCATCAGAATATAAGCTCTCCTGAAAGTCACAATATGCTTAGAAACAGAACAAGACTTTCTCCCCAGGGTATGGAATTATGAGGGAGGGTGGTCCAAATTTACCTAGCCTTTAGAAGGCATACAATCCCAGGATCTTAGAATATATATGTACATGGAAGTTTCAAGTGATGAAAGATTAGGAAACACAAAACAATAACAGTTTCAGGGACAAGCTTCAGTTCCATTCGCCCTTAAAAATGTAGCTCCTAGGGAGCCCTCTGAAAAGAAGCAATACTTTTGGTTCCAGCCATAATAAAATAACTTACATTGAACTAACAGTCCAGTAAAAAATAATTACAAAGCTGGACGAAATACATAAAATAACTGTTTGAAAACATTGGAGAGCAAGCCACTCTGTAAGACTTGGAGGGCTGTGACCCCCGAGACAGGAAAGCACAGCAAAGTGAGCACCATGATTATTCAGGTGTTTTCCTGGGGGAATTTGCTATTTCATTGTGAGGTGGAATGGTGTAGACTGGAAAGGAGCAAGCTTACTGGTGGAAGAGACAGAGGACGAAGTTCAGGTGTATCAATCCACCTGGGATTTGAGGAATAAAATCCCAGAGAGGCGGTAACTGCATGAATGTGGCCCTTGGGGCATTGGCCAGCTCTGAACTTGAGCACGCACAGGGCAGTGTGCCAAGAAACTTAGCAGAAATCAGCAACTGGGGGGCTAACTGGGGAGCAGAGATCTCAGCAATGCTGAAAGGAGATTGGGGCTGGAGCTCAAGCCCCGCCCAATAGGAGGAGCTTGGGAAACATCCCAGGCTTTTAGCTGAGATCCTGGAAAAACTTTTAGGAGTGAGGGCCACGCCCCCAAAGTAAGGGCAGCACTGAAATAGGTCAGCCTGAGAAACCTAAGAGGAGCTATGGACAGGACGAAAGTGGCTTTCTGGTACTCTATCTGCCTGCCAAGACAAAACCTTATCCTGCTTGGAGGAAAGTGACAAACAATCTTTCATGAACAACATCAACATTTAAACAAAATTATGAAATCTGCCAGAAAAAGGGACAAAATGACAAAAACCAAACAAACACACAAACAAAAAAACCCAAGAGAAATAACAAATAATGAAAATAGCCCCACTAGTAATACAGATATTGGTTTCAAAATCACTGATTACTGTTTTAGCAAATTAAAAAAAAAGAATAAAAATTTGATCAAAGATAAATCCTTCAAAATTAATCAAATACAAAGAAAGGAGGGGCTGAGATCCAATATTTCTCATTTGTCTGTGTCCAGGAATGTTGACTATTTCTCGCTTCTGTCACTTTTTTCTTCTTTCTGTTGGTTGCTTCTACCCCCAAACTCACCTCTACTCTTCAAAAATAGTTGTCACATTAGGCTGTCATGGAAAGCACAAAAGGTACCTGTGGTTTCCAGTTTTGATCTATTGAACAGGAAGACATGAAAAGTGTCTTCAAGTTGAAGAGAGAGCATAATTAATAGAAAGTGTACAGATTAAAAACTGACAGATACCTGTGCTCACATACTGTCCCTGCCACCTACATATTTCTGTGATCACATACAATTTATTAACCGTTCTGCATCTGTTTTCTGTTCCATAAAAACTGATTGACGCTTAACCTTAAAAAGTAATTTTAAGCACTAAATGAGATGCTCTGTACAGGCAGAGTGCTTAGCACAAATAGGTTACCAATAAATACTGATGCCTCCTTGGCTGTATCTTATCATCAGTAGAGGAAGCACACATTCAAAACCGGCAATCTTGAACTTCAGAATGGGATGTCATCTATGGATTGACCGTCCCTTGATATCCTCAACCAAGATGAAGCAATACACAATTTGGATTCTTTTGCTATCTTTCAAAGTGGAAAATACTGAAGGTGCCAAAAAAAATGTATACACGTGAGACTTACATTTATCTTTTGTTATTGGTATCTATTGAATATTACAATTTTAATACAGTTTTTCCCTTTCTTAAAATGTGTATACGGTTTTTTGGCACCCTCTGTAGTAATGCCTTAGCAAAATATCTGCACAATATGGGTTAGTCAAAACAATAGCTTCTTAAACCCTTAGGAAAGAAATTGAGTAAATATCTGGGCCAAAGCTCAAGACAGCAGATCCAGGCTTTTGTTGTTAGAGAATGCTATGCATGCCCTGGATTGCCTTTCAACAATCATTCCTATTAAATCATTTGTCCCTCTGACACGTCTAATGAAGTCATGTTCACGATCAGCTTAATCATAGGATGCCGTACGGTACATAGTTGGACTGGAACGCTGTTTGTATAAACTGACACATGTAAGAAATATATAATTTCATCAAATGTTCATTATGCTTTCAGTGTGACAATCTTTGGTTTGAACCTTTTTATGCATATTTAGCCATTTTAAGATAGACTTTTGGGTACTGGTTAACAAAAGATTATTCGTAAGCAAAATTCACATTGAGCAAGTGGAGTAGTGAACAATTACAAACACAGCAAATTCTGAGCCATATACTCGATCTGGAAATCTTTAAATTTTGGAGAAATCACACGTCTTTACCTAAATATTATACCACTGAAATTGATTCTAGTTATAAGCACATGAAAATAAACCAGGAAAACACTGAGTTAAAGAGAAGTCATTCATAAATAATACTTTCCTAGAATGTTGATAACAAACTCCAACATTGACTTCTAGCTAATTATTTAATTGCTCAACTCATGGCCGAACAGTCATAACTTACACATGCAGAGACTTTTTTAGAGTGAGGTCATGACATGCGCCTTTACTGTTGTAAATTACTCCGGTGTTATTATTGGGTTGTTGGAAAAGTCATGACGTATTTTTTCTATGTTTTTCATTGCAAAAATGCATCATGACTTTTCTGAAAACCCAATAGGACTCAGCATTAACTGGAAATAAGACTTACATCGCTCTCATGACCTTCTCGAAGGTTGTATGTGAGATCATGCTGAATGTCTTCCACGAACTTGTGAGCATATTCTGGGTAGAGGTCTAGCACTTCAAAGAGTCCTTTGAGGATGATACACTGGAGATCACAGTAGGTTAAAGCCTTCACATCTGCATTGGTCTTGATCACTTGGTCCTTAATTGATAGATTGGCTCCAATTAAATCCCCTTTCCCTTGAAACAGTGAAAAAAGAGACATGTCACTTTAAAGAAAAACAAGCGTCAGACCAGTAACTTCATTTGACTTACAGTCTTCATTTCTGTGAGATTACACTGACAAGACAAGTGGAACCTTTATCTGGTGCAGGATTTCTCAACCTCAGTCTGATCACTTTTTGTTGGGGGGTGGTATTCCTCTAAACAGTAGAATGTTTGGAAGCAGCTCATACCCTCCCATCTGTGGTAGTGACAACCAAAATATCTTCAGACATTACCAAGTGTCCCCTGGTGGGTAAAACTGTTCTCAGTTGAGAATAGAAAATAAAGGCTAGGAGACCTAGAGTTAGGAATCATAGGTCACAGATGGGCTCCAGACAGGTCCCACACAGGATTTGGTAAATGACTTCAGAGAAACCATTTGATATTTTTGTCACAGTTGTTTTAACTGTTGAAAGGCAGCAATAATGGCTCAGATTTGTCTGAGTGTAAAAAGGCTCTGTGATTCTAAGGTAAGACCATCAAGAAGTATATTAATAATTTTGATTCCAGCACTTTGGACAATAATATAAGCGTTACCATCAGCTTTCTATCATACTCAAGTTGCTTCTTTTATTTCTAAACATGTCTACGAGACAGGTGATATGGGGGGAGGAGCCCTCCATCTTTCTTCTCAGAGTTGGGAGGCAGGATGACTATTGGACATTATGGACAATGAAATCTACATAAAAAGGTAAAGCACAAGTCATAGCTCTAATGCTCTGTGACAGTGTAAAAACCCCATTTTCTTAATAGAAAAAGAAGCTCTTCACTAATGCCACTGGAGGGAGAGAGGATCTAATGAAACTTTAGCCAATTTATCTCCACATTCCCCACAATGACCTCTGATATTTTACCTGCAATACCTCAGCCTATCAGTCTTCGGTTGGAATTCACTTGTGTGGGAACTAGCTTGCTTCCTTGAATTTTTTGATTAGATAATATTAGACAATTTATTTGAATCTTGAAAATTTTTCAATTGATTTGAATCTGTTTAACTTAGCAGGAAGGTGAACATAACTGTAAGGGCTAACAAAAAGCTGATCATAGCTTCAGATTTATTTTAGACAGCCATTAATTCACTCAGCATCCATGGAAGAAGTACAAAAGAAAATCCATTCAACGTTCAGACAAACATAAATTAAGAGCTGAGGTGATATGACCAAGCTCACAGAGGATGGTGGCATTAGATTCATGGCCACAGCTTAGGAGTTTCTACAACTTTTTCCTCAAATAGCATCATGCCTGGGCTTTAACTTTTTTTTTTTCTTTTATGGCCACTTTGCTCCATTTCATATGGAACCAACAACCAACAGTTGACCAAGCAAATAATATCTTTGGAATGTTATAGCACAAATTGCCCCTGTCAGTCTTCTGTTCAATTAAACTTTTAACTGATATGCTTTTATTTTTTATTGTGTTCAGCATTTCTGGAAGCAAAGTCCCTGGAATGTAGCCTTCAATAAAAGGTTTATTGTATTTGATGGTTAGTACAAGGAAACATGCTAAATTAACCATGAATACCTAAGATATTAATAAATATTTATGGCAGATAAAAAACTGAGTTTTAAAATGATTAAAGTATATCTAGGTGTTATCTTAGAATTAATATTGGATTTAAATCTTGAAATTAAACCTATTAGGTAGAAGAAAAAATGGCTAACATCTATATTTGTAGACACTAAGGGAATAAACAGCCACATGACATTGAAGAATTCCAGTTTGGTTCATTGTTGTCACCAATACCGCTAAACTTGGAACTTTTGTTTCTTGCATATTTTGTTAGAAATCTAAATTGTTGCTCAAAAACTCAAAGTTGGGTACTGATGCAAGATGCAAATTGAATTCAGCAAAATTCAAATTCTGTCTATATGAGGAAAATGTATCACGATGCACTCACTGTCTTGCCATAAAGGATATTCACATTTCCAAGCAACTAGCATTTGGAATAATTTTAGGGTCATCATACTTTCATAGCTTGGGTGACCATAATATGACTCTTTCAGCCACAATAACCCCAGCTATAAAAACAGCACCAACAACATCCTGCCAAACTTTGCACCATAGGAAAAACTTCCCATTTATTCATTCCTTCAATGAATATTTAATGAGTACTGACATGTATGCAGGGCCTCGGGCTGAGTCCTGCAAGCAGCCACTGCTAAGTAACAACATGGTTCTCACCCTCACTGATTTTAGCATCTTGTGGATTCCTTTCTCTCTAGATTTAGACTTAGGTCTAAGCTTCTTAATTACTCTGAATTTCAGTATCTTTATTTCTAGAAGAAGAGAAAGATATCTATGGTCCCTTACAGCCTACACTTTTCTGAATTCTATTTTGATGTTTTCTAATCAGTGATTCTTCCATTGGGGGGAAAAGTTGACGAGATGCATCTGCAAACCATCCGGGTAAGGGCTGTAACTTATGTTTAATTATAATTAGGCAGATAATGCCATCTGTGAAGTACTTTCATTGGTGCTTTGTTGTTTTCTTTTAAACAATGGTGACAAAAATGGTGAGAAAACGTAATTATATATTAATTCATTTTGGTGGCAGAGTGAGCATGTATTAAATATCTACAGATCAAATGTGAAGCCATGTGCCTAAGTTTATCAAAGTCAGTATTGATTTGAATTGGAACCTATAAGACAGTATTATCATAGGGAAAGATAAATAGTTAATCTCCACTGAAATAATGTTAACCATAGAGAGAAAATATTAATAATTTATTATCTCTGTTTATGTTTAGTCCCAATACCACATCTCGTGTTTGTTTGTTTGTTTGTTTATTTATTCATTTATTTTTAAAAGATTTTATTGGGGAATTGGGGGAGGGGAACAGACAAGTTGCTGTCCTTTTGTTCTTCAGTCTAGTTGTGGAGGACGTTGCTTCACTGGCCCATGTTGGTATTATCATTGCACTCTTCCCGGGTGAGGCAGTTGCTTGCCGGCCATTGGCTGGCTGCTCACGGTGGCTCATGGCAGCTCAGGAAAGTGCACACCCGCTGCCGGCCAGCCCCACTGCAGCCTACGCCGTCACCAGTGACTCATGGCAGCCCAGCTGCAGGTGGAGTTGTTGTTCACCATCTTAGCTGTAGAGGGTGCAGTGTCACTGGCCCTCATGTGGGATCTGAACCGGGACCCTGCTGCTCAGAGCTGGTGTCCCAAGCCAACTCCTAACCAACACGCCACTTGGCTGGCCCCATACTTGTGCTTACAATGGCCATGTGGCGATTTATACTTAAAGCACTTTTGATAGATGCATGGTAGAAGAAATGTGTGAAAATGTTAATCATGGAAATCACAATTTATGGAGAGAATTGGGGCCAGAGCAAAAGGCAATGGATTAAATCTTTTAGCTGTAAGTAGAATTTCTTTTTTTAAATAAGAAAATCTAATTGAGTCATGTATTTTGAATGATGGTTATTACATAGAAGCCATCAAATTGGCACCCATTGCTCCCTAATGTTATGGATGACACCTTTGTATTTCATTCCTAAAATTGTTATTAGTTACCAAAGTTAACAATCCACAACAATTATGAAAAAAAACCACATATATGTTTAAAAATGGTGCATTATTTTTGCTTACATGTATATTCTGGAAAAATAAATATATGCCCTTTTGAAAGCAGGCTGTGTTAATAGGCAGGCTATAAAACTTAAACAGTGGTCCTAAGGAAATACATGGAAAAGTATTTTATGATTAAAGTTAAGTGACTGAAGCAAATTTAGCAATAATTGTCACTTTTAATTTAGAATCACAGAATGATAGAATGACTGGCCTTTAACTTCATAAAGTTGACAAGTGGGCAGAAGGAGTGTTACATTTTCTCTTAAAAAAAGCACACCCATATCGAGCCTCACTCTAATGCTGATAATGAGCTAGCCAAGCTGATATGATAATAAACTCTTTGAGTTGCTATTGCATAATATATATTTTTTTTATTAAGGAGTAAAACATAAGGGGGTAAATCAAGAATTGAGCCCCAACTTTGAAAGGCAAGCCCCACCTTTCCTCTGGTAAGTGGTAAACTGAAGTCAACATGAAGAAATAAAAAGCATGTGGGTATTTCCCCATTCACTAGCCTCCATCGCTTCACCTTTAATTGGGGAAAACCACGCCAACCTCATAGGGTTGCAAGATTTAAATTGGATAATAAACATAAAACACCCGGCTCGTATCAGGAATTCAATACGTATTAGTTTTCTTCTCTCTTCCAAATTATAACCTGCCTTGAAGCTTACTGTCTAGAATCCAGAGATGGCAGGCTACCAATGATTACATAGAATAGCGGAATGATTTTTATGAGACTTTACTCTTAATGCACAATCATTTCTACACTATTATTTTAGCACAGACAAACAATTTTCATGTTCTTCTGAGAGTTGATTTTTCACAAAGATATGGAAATGGCTTCTGAAAATTGACCAGCTATTTTACCAGGAGTCAGTATATATCATGATTAATAGTCTGGCCTTAGCAATCATAAAGCATTGTATTTATTTTCTTACCACAGTAGTCCCCCCTTACCTGAGGTTTCGATTTCCGCAGTTTCAGTTACCTGCGGTCAAATGTAGTCTGAAAACATTAAATGGAAAATTCCAGAAATAAACAATTCATAAGCATTAAATTGTGCAACTGTCTGAATAGCATGATGCAAGCTTATCCCATCCCACCTCGGATGGGAATCATTCCTCTGTCCAGTGTGTCCTCCCTGTATACACTCCCTGCCTGTTAGTAACTTAGTAGCTATCTAGCTTATCGGATTGACGTCATGATATAGTGCTTGTGTTCAGGTCACCCTTATTTTACTTAACAGTGGCCCAAAAAGCAAGAGTAATGATACTGGCAATTTGAAGATGCCACAGAGAAGCCATAGAGTGCTTCCCTTAAGTGAAAAGGTGAAAGTCCTCGACTTAATAAGGAAAGAAAAACATTATATGCTGAAGTTGCTAAGAATGAGTCTTCTGTCCGTGAAACTGTAAAGATGGTAAAAGAAATTCATGCCAGTGTTGCTGTCATGCCTCAAAATGCAAAAGTTAAGCTACAGTGCATGATAAGTGCTTAGTTAAGATGGAAAAGGCATTACATTTGAGTGGAAGACATGAACAGAAATATGCACAGAGGGTGCCCAAAAACTGTATACACATTTTAAGAAAGGAAAAAACTGTATTAAAACCATTATACTCAATATATGCTGATAACAAAAGATGAATACAAGTCATGGTATACATTTTTTTGGCACCCCCGGTATATATGGATTGATACTATCTGCAATTTCAGGCATCCACTGGGGGTCCTTGGAATGTATCTCCCTCAGATAAGGGAAGGCTATTATATGTGATTTGGGACAAGTTAACGAAGATACTTTTTATTCATATTTGCAAAATGGGAATAATAGTTAAACTGCTGGATTTTTAACAAGAATCAAATAATATGTTGGATGTAACACTTAGCACAGTGGAATCTCAATATGTAGCACAACAGTTAATAATAATAATAATAATAATAATAATAATAATAAAATAGTTGGCAAATTAAACCCCTATGAAGAAAATCCTGAGTGCACATATGTATCCATAATTTCCCTAATCTATAGCAGTTTTCCCCCCCATTTCATCTCCTTAACTCATGCTCCAGAGGAAAATTTCATGGAGCTTTCATCTCCGACCTACCAAGAATAGCCAGCACCATGCTGTCTTTAAGGACCTCCATGGAGCCCGAGCAGACAAAGTAGATGGCCTGCAAAGCATCTCCTTGGCGCAGCAGATACTCCCCCGGAGCACAGAAAGAGGTTTTTATGTGTAGAGACAGGGACCGGAGGCAGCCCCGGCTGGCACACTCAAAAAGGGACAACTGTAAGATTTCCTTGTTCAAGTGCATAGTGATGTCAGAACGTAGCTCATCTGGAAAGTCTTTCAGAAGCTGTCAAAGAAAATGAAAGAGGAAGTCAAGTTGGGGTAAGTCTAGTCTAATTTATTTACTTTGCAAGGCAACAGGGATGTTCTTCCCACTGTTTGACCAACCAGAGTACAGAAGAGGAAATATCTGTAAGAGATTGGAGAGATTTTTCAAGGACTGTGACCCCACTTATGTGTTGCTGAATAATCAGCTGAAAAGAAGTCTGGAGAAATAGAATAAATTAATAAAAAGACTCTAGAATGAAAACACACAGCTCAGTGTGACTTGCTTCTCACAGACTCCTACTCAAGGAGAAGATATGGAATGTGGACCATTCAGTGTTTGCTCTGGTGTCACGATTATATGAAGAGAGGAGAAACCAAATAATCATTTAAAAAATGGTGATTACTGGTTTGGTTGGAGATTTGGTAGAATGGTTGCTTGATTTCTATGATACCTTTCTTACATGGTGGTCTGGGGTGTTTCTGGAAGTCCGCAGATACCTTTGCTGAAATTTTTTTTTTTTTTACTTTCTTGGTTTTAAAGGCAAACATTAATTTGATTAATCTAATATTCAAAGATTCTGGTTTGACCATTCAGTTGTTATAAGAATTGGTTCCTTTCAAAGAGTGTTCAAAAGAATGAAAATAAGTCCATTTGATTAACCAAAGTAATGAGTTATATAGATTATTGGTCAATCCAAGTGGCATCGTGAAAATATAAGCCAAAGCAGGAGAAAGACTGGGTTTCTCAAAGGATTAAATGGCAAAGAGATAAATAAGTCAGTAGGTGTGTTTTTCACTTCTGAGACCTACAGGAGGGAACCTCGCTTTTTACCTTAGAATATGTGCTTTCTGCCTAAAAACATCAACATGAGAAATGAACATTACCTCATTTGAATCTATTCCATTGTTGACTGACCAGGTTGTTTGGAAATATTCGAGCATCCTCTGCTTGAGCTGCTGGGGCAGGTGATGGACACGTATGAAGTCTTTCAGGTCCTTAGTTCTAGTGTGATACAGGGACCATCTGGAGTACATCCTCTGTATGATCGCTGTTACATTTCCAAACACCAAGGCATGCATCAAGGCTGAGAAGAACAATACAACATAGAATGGGAGAGAAATATGATGGAGGAGTTAGCCCTTTCAGCCTAAATTTACAGGCTCTATCCTAAGTCAGAGCAGAGTGTGCTTATGTGGCCACATTGATACACATATTTTGGTACAAGCATTTTGTGCAGCCACTTTGTCACAGGTGCATCCTGATGAAGTCATTTTGATCCCCTATGGCTTGATCAGAATAAAAATATCTTTTTAAAATACTCAATAACATGCAAAATAAGTTTAGCTGCCATTCTGGCTATGACAAGCTTTTATTTTATACTTTATTTACATCTGTATTATTTTAATAGTTATGCATAGTTTAATAGCTAGGATGAAATAGTTTTAATTCATAAAATTAGTCATAAAGTTAAAATTGAGTAGTTACTTTTACTGTCATAAAAATACATTTAAAAAAGAAGTCTGTTATAACTGGTTAGCCTTTATGGGAATATGAGTCTCTTCCCCAAAGCCATCATTTAAAATTAGTTTTAGGCTATTAAGTATGACATTTATATTACAAAAGGTATCGAGAAAGTTGTTGGAAATGTAACTGAGGATTTATGGGGTGCATTGAAGCTGAGCTGAATAGGGTTCCAATCCCCTAGCCCGCCCCAAATCCAGAGTCACTTCAATTTTATGGGAGGTATCAGAAAATCTGAGACCATTTGAGAAACAAATGAAGTCACAGAGGAAAAACAGGTATTCTGCTTAGAGTCATCACTGCCACCTTGAGAAGAGCCAGGTGGTATATATGCATATGTGGGACCCCTGTTTCAATGAGGCTCCTCGGTCAGATAGCATTTAACGCCCACTTCCTCGCCGAGTCTTCCCCTTCCCAAATTCAGTACCAGGATGTAATGAGATAGACTTTGTTCATCAGAATTTGAGGCTGGATGGGGATGGGGGATGTGTTTTCTACTGGAAAATGTAGAGTGAGCAGGTGGACTTCACTTTCCAAGAGTTGCCTGTGGTAGGCAGTGTTTGGGTATCAGGAAGTCAGACGAGGCACGGCAGGCTTTCGCACTAATTGTTAGCTGAATATATAATGGCCTCTGCAGACACCAACAGAAAGCCCAAGAAGGCCTTGGAGCCACCTGGGGCTGTGAAGCTGGGAGACGATGTACTTATATTTATGGGCAGACCAGTTCTCAGTGATACTCAGATTTCAGCCCTTATCCCATCCTGGGATGGGATTGGCAATGAAGTAAGAAGCTCAGGGACTGGGTGAAATAACCTGTTTCAGCAGTTTTTGGTAAACAAACAAAACAAAACAAAACACCTAAAAATTTAGTAGTTTGCTTATTAGGATCTATCAATTTGTCCTTGTACCCAAATCTCAGTGTCCGAGGAGCTGTGCTAAAAGTTTCTTAGCATCCAAAAGGATACATTGGTACAAATGTGTGAACCTGCTACTAGATATTGTAGGATAGCTCCAATTAAACTCCTTTTTTGCTATATGTTTACTAGAAATTAGTAACCATTGGCATACCAATTTCAACCTAATCTAAAACTAGAATTAAAATTCTTTATTAGGTTATTATGTATCATCATTTTTTTATGGAAAACATGATCACTATGCCTATAGTCACCCCATAGTAACAAGGAAGGACTGAACAGTTTGGAAAAGTTACTAGACTAGGGTTACACTTAGGGTCTATGTAGAAGAGGCAATATAATATTGTAGAGAAAATATGGACTTCAGAATCAGACACATCCAGATTTGAATCCTGACTTTGACACTTCCTAATTGTTGTGAACCTGGCAAGATACGTAATTTCCATATAGGGACTCAGTTTCCTTATATGTAAATGGGCATATTAATACCGTCCTCATAGAGCTATTTTGAGTTTTAAAGGGTGAAAATTGTGAAAGGACAAGTTGCCAGTTACAAAAATAGTCACGGGGGTGTAAAGTATAACACAGGAAATATAGTCAATAATATTGTAATAACTATGTATGGTGTCAGATGGGTACTAGATTTATCAGATTGATCACTTCATAAGGTATTGGGTTGTCGGAAAAGTCATGACGTATTTTGTCTATGTTTTTCAAAGGTCATTTATATAAAGAACAAAGATCAATCAATGATATATTGCGCATTTTGTTCGATAACCTTTTGCCATCTTTCAGTGAGCTTCATAATTCCTCGTTCATAGAAGGACCTGTCTTTATTTGTGAAAAACTGAACAAGGTGCTGATTTACAGCCTCATCTGAATTGAATGTTATACCACGCAAGGAGTTGTGGAGAGAAACAAGTGGAAGTCTGATGGCGCAAGATCAGGCGAGTATGGTGGGTGTGGCAACACATCCCATCCAAGCTCCAATCATTTTTGACAAGTGATCAAACTTGTGTGTGGTCTCGCATTGTTGCGATGGAACACAGCTCCTTTACAACTAACAAGCTCTGGGCATTTCTGAATGATGAATTCGTTCAAACTGTCCAATTGCTGACAGTACACATTTGAATTGATTGTTTGGTTCCTTGGTAGGAGCTTGAAAAACATGACACCTTTAAAATCCCACCACACTGAGAGCATAACATTCCTCTGATGAATCTCTGCTTTCGATGTCGTTTGAGGCGAATCATCACGTCGGGACCAAGACTGTTTATGCACCACATTGTTGTAAACAACCCACTTCTCATCACCAGTTATCAGTTGCTTCAAAAAAAGGATCGTTTAATGAGCATATTGCAGATGTGTCTATGTGCTGTCAAATGAACTTCTTTGAGTTCATGCGGAACCCAAATATCGAGCTTGCTTACATATCCCAGCTTCTTCAGGTGGTCGTGAACGCTTGAATGATGGATGTTCAATGTTTCTGCTATCTCCTGTGTCATGTAACATGGGTTTGACTCGATCAATGCCTTTATTTTGTCATCATCAACCTCAGTGGGCCTCCTTGACTGAGGAGTGTCGTTGAAATCAAAATCACCAGCATGGAATTTCATGAACCATCGTTGGCACTGACATTCTTGTAGAGTATTGTCACCATAAACTTTATGCAACTTTTCACAAACTTGACGTGCGTTCTTCCCTTTATGGAAGTAAAACAGTAAAATATGGCAAAAATGCACAGTTTGGTCTTCCATTTTCAACTTGTAAAATCTCCAAAACTCTACCAAATTGCTCAATTTTTTCTTCAATGAAGCTAGAACTGTCAGCTGTCAAACGACATAGCAAAAACATAGATGCAAAAGACTCTAGTACTTCCAAAAATGAACAACTAGTGGCATCTGTTGCAAACATGCGTCATGACTTTTCCGACAACCCAATATATAAATGTCTAACCATTATGTTGTACATCTGAAATTAATACAATATTGTATGTTAACTGTAATTGAAAAAAATAAATTTAAAAGGAGTTTATATATATGTATATATATATATTTTTTAATTGCCTAATATTTGCATGAATAACAGTGAGTGCTCAATTTATCTTGATTTTTTTCCCATGAGAGTGACAGGGGCTATCATGAATTTTTAACATGCTCAATAGAGTAAAATTCGGGGAAAAGAATGCAGATTTAAGATTATCCATCAACTTCTTTAATAATTAAGAGTGGTTCTTGGTGGAAATAACTTCTTGATGCAAGAAATTCAAGAAATATTTAATACTAAGTGCCTGCTGCATGAAAATATATGTAAGTACATATATATTCTTTCTAAATTTTAAAAAATGAAACTTCTTCCAAGCAGGCCAAAAATGTGCCAAGAAAAATGATATTGCTTAACAATTTACTGCTGAATGGTTTTTGGTGAATTCTAAACAGAGGTTCATTCTTCTGTATGTTTTTAGAAGCACTAGAGCTCTGATGCTTAAATATTTTATTTGGAAGAAGAGACCTCCGTTTATGATAAACACTCTGAATAAAAGAGCTGATTCTGTTCCAAGTCAAAGAACTCATACACCGATTTCAGGCTCTGTAAATATATTGGGCTGTCGGGAAAGTCATGATGCATTTTTGCAATGAAAAACATAGAAAATGTCATGAGTTTTCCGACAACCCAATACTTGTGGGCTCTGTGTTTGAAAGCCCTACCATCTGTAAAAATATGTAATTGTCTTTTATGGAGATTAAACTGAATACCGAGAACAATTTTATTTCATTTATTTTAACACTGCTTTCCTTAATTATGTGTATGATTTTACCTTTGCTTTGCTTAATTATAATGTGTGTACAGCACTTAAAGTAAGAGAAGTAATATGTTCAGATCATTTAGCATCTTAATTGTACACTACCGATAAAACGAATTACTGGATTAATTGTCAAATTCCTAAGTGTCGTTGGAAAGTACTAGTCTATGTCTGAGTCACCATAATTTCAAAATCTCATTTCAGTATAGAAAAATACTTCGAATTTCAGTAGTTAAAAAGTGAAACCCTCGCTCTCCTAGTTTCTCAGTTTCCCAAGTTACTGCCTCTGTCACTGGTTATCATTTCCACATTGGCACAGAGTGTGTATATGTGTCACACCAAATCATTCCATTTGCTAGGAAAGTTTAACTCAAGAACTTCCATATCCAGGTCAGTTTGGAAATTATTTTCCTTTTACTCCTGGCATATTTGGTGTATATAATTCTTAAAGCAGCATGGTAGGCCTGCTGCTGAGTCTGTGGGAGGCCCTTTTTCTTTGCGCAGGAGTTTTGTATAATAGACATTTTGTAAAATCTCATCTTAATATCAGGTCTTTGAAGTAACCTCATCAATTGGGATCTAAGAAGAAAGTCAATAGAATCAAACGAAAGTGCTCTCCGATAGGATTGCTTGGCTACCCCTTTCTTTTTCCCTTTCCTTTCCCCCTTTTCTTCCCTTCTCCCTTCTTTTCTCTCCCTCCTCCTTTCCCCACCTCTGTGAATTCAGGGCACTATTGCTCTCCTGAGGTATAACATCATTGCTGATATCTTTTTCTTTTTTTTTTTCCCCTCTTCACAAATTCTTTACTGAGGCAGAGAAAGGTAACTTTACAGTGAGAAAAGCCTG